GTGCCTGGGTCACGGCCCTCTCCGGGGTGCCTGGGTCATGGCCCTCTGGCCCTGCACCAGCACGTGACCTCCCCCTGACTTGGTTTCTGTCTCTAAGACGTATCTGTGCTCGCTGCTCCTTGGGAGACTCTAGCTGGAGCACCGGCGGGAGGTAGGGAAAGTTGGGTTGGGCAGGAAATCTGGCCGTCTCTCTGGCTCTCTGGCCCAGGCCCCCCGCCCCCACCCGTGAGAGCCTGTGGGGCTCAGGCACGTCCTCCTCTGAGGCCTCTAAGTCTCCCCAGGTGGGGGCTGCTGGGGTCTCCCTCCTTCCCTGCTGTGAAGCGGCAGAACCACACCTGGATTAGGTCTGGGAACTGAGCAGAATCAAGTTGTTTCACCTGTGCTTGGAACCTGGCAAATGGCCGGCTGCTCCCTCTCCTGCCTCAGTCGGGTCTGCTGTGGGAGGTGGGCAGAGTCAGCCCATCTTTGGGACCCCTTCTGGAAGTTTTTTAAAATTTGTGGTGTTGTTTTGCCATCCTAATGCTCTTTTCAGAAAGGAAGAATAGCTGAGCTCTCGTCTGCATCAATTTCTAAGGTGGAACACAGTTGAGTGGTTATCAGTAGTTCACATCCTGTATTTTTACATGTGAGGAAACAGATCCAGAGAGGGGGTGAGACTCAGGCAGGGTCCCCCAGAGGTCCGAGACAGGAAAGCTCTGGACTTCCCCCCCCCCCCCCGAGCCTGCTCACGGCTGGCCTTTGCTTCACGCCAGCTGGTCCACGAGGGAGAAGGTGGCCTCGTGACAAGGCTGCCTTGGTCCAGGGCGGGAACCAAAGCCTGGAGTCATTCGGTGTTTTCCCGGACTGGGGTACTCAGCGCAGATATGCGGGTCTGCTCTTGCCCTGAGACTCGTGAGCCCGCTGTCAGTCATGGGGGGGGGGCGGAGGGGCCAGCGCTTGGGGGTTTCGGGACTGAAGTCAGGGGGCCCAGACAAGGAAACGGGGAACAGAGGAGACCCTGCTGATCCCGCCTATGTCTCCAGGCCAGACCCCTGACCCGCTACCTGCCGATCCGGAAGGAGGACTTTGACCTGAAGACCCACATCGAGTCCTCAGGCCACGGCGTTGACACCTGCCTGCACGTGGTGCTCAGCAGCAAGGTATAGGTCGTGCGTGGCCGGGGTGGGGCGAGGACCCTGTGGTCAGGAGACCTCCTGGGGCCTTGGAATCGTGGCCTCAGTTCCTGCCCGTACATCAGACGGACTTGGCCCAGGATCTGGTGTGCTGACGAGATGTGGGTGATAGCCCGCGGGAATACAGAAAGGGGAGCTGCTCAGGGCAGGAAGACTCAGGGGCCGGGCCGCGGGGTCCTTCCTGACTGCCGCTTCCCACCAGGTCTGCCGCGGCTACTTGGTAAAGATGGGCGGCAAGATTAAATCTTGGAAGAAGCGCTGGTTTGTCTTCGACCGGCTCAAGCGCACCCTGTCCTATTACGTGGGTGAGTCCTCAAGTCTGGCCAGAACTGGGTCCCCCAGGCGGTCTCCCCGGGATGCCGGCCTGTGGGGAAGGAGCCAAGTCCGAGCCAGGGTCAGGGCTTGTCCTCGGCTCCCTGGACACGCGCGGCAGGTGCCTGGCTCGCTCGTCCGGCAGTGTCGCTCAGATCCGAGGTTGGTGACACCTGAGCGAGGGATTACAACAAAGCCTGACGGGCAGCCGCTCGGCCCATGCTGGGGGTGTACAGGTCCCGTGGACCCCGCCTTGGGCAAGTTCCCTCCGAGCCTGAGACTTGGTGGGTATCAGGGTGGCTTTCAATCTTACGTGACTCCAGAGGCCGCTGACATGAAGCTTATTATACATGTTTTATCTACGTGTAAGGTAAATTCTTGTAAGCGTCATGTCAGCTCACAGGGCAACGGCCTCCCTAACCTGGGTGGCTCCGGGCAAGCCCACGGGGCCTGGGCAGGTCACCCCACCTGCCACTTGTTAGCCTACCTGTTTCTCCAGGTAAGTGGCAGTGGTGCCCAGCAGAGCTCTAATTCACATCAGGGCTCCGGCTCATGTCCTAGTCTGGGAATCACCCACTTCCCAGGCGGGGACGCTCCCTCTGAGTGAAGCGTGACCTGAGGTACGACAGGCCTCAGCCCGGCCCTTCTTTGCCTTACAGATAAGCATGAGACGAAGCTGAAGGGGGTCATCTACTTCCAGGCCATCGAGGAGGTGTACTATGACCACCTGCGCAGCGCTGCCAAGGTGAGGGCCGAGGGCTCCGGCCTCCCCGCTGCAGGGGCTGGGCGCGCTCCTCGGTCTCTTGTAAACGTGCTGTCCTCTCTCCCTCTCCCCTTCCCAGAAGAGGTTTTTCAGCTTCACTATGGTGACTGAGGTACCTCTCCCCGACCTGTAACCAGAACTACTCTGCATTAACGCCTCCTGGACCCACTCCCCCATGATTCTTTACTCTCCCTGTAACGCCCCGTCCCATCCCGCAGGCCCGAGGAGAGAGGGTGGGTTGCAGGGAGCCCCTGTGGGCCGGCGCGCCTCCCTCTCCGGGTGCCAGCAGAGGTCTCCCTGTGGCAGGTGGGCAGTGCAGAAAGGGTGGCTGGGAGGGGAGCAGGAGCCCTGACCGGCAGGGTGACCGGCGGGAGGTGGTTGAGGCCAGGGCTGTCCGCCCTCATGCAACACCCTCCCTTCTGCCGAGCTCAGGTGCCCACCTGTGTCCTGGGGCCCAGCACCCCACTTGTAGCTTTTGCCATCTGTCTCTTTTCTGTTGAGACTCTCCGGTCCTGAGTATGCACTTTGTACTCGGGGTGCTAAGGAACAGACTGACTGACGGCGTATGGCCGAGGGGCCAAGATGCCCGGTGGGAGAAGGGGCCATCTCAGCCGAGCACCCCCACACTGCCCCCAGCCCTGCCAGGCCAGGACCCTGAGCTCTGTGGCATTCTGGAGAGAGGAAGAGGCGGGGCCGGTCCCTGGGCATGGGGAGCCCCGCGCAGCCCTTTCTCCTCTCCGGCAGAGCCCCAACCCAGCCCTCACCTTCTGCGTGAAGACCCACGACCGGCTGTACTACATGGTGGCGCCGTCTGCGGAGGCCATGCGCATCTGGATGGACGTCATCGTCACCGGGGCCGAGGGCTACACTCAGTTCCTCAACTGACCCGTGTGGGCTCTGCACCGCTGGCTGCCGGGCCCAGCCCTGCTGTCTGCGTGGGCCTGGAGGCAGCGTGGCGTGCTGGGCCGCTCAGGAGTGCAGTGGGCTTTTGCACAAGACAGCTAGGTAACGACAAGCTCTGAGTTTCTGAGCTCAGGCCCCTCAGAGCCAGCTGGACGTGACACGTGGAGAAAGAGCCCCGACTGGCAGTAACCATTCAGGGGCCGGGCCAGGGCCGAGGGGCTGCCCCAGACGGGGCATCTCAGCTCTTACCTGGCGCCTGTGCTCATTTGTTAAGGACAAGCTATGGTACCAGAACCTGCCAAAGACCCCCTCCTGCCTCAGCCCCTTTGCCAGGCTTCAGGGCTGAGCAGAGTGCCACCAGTGGGGTGGAAGTGGAAGCACAGGCAGTGTACTTCTCGAACCTCGCTTGACCCTGTTTGTCCCCCGTTTATGTTTTTTATTTGCTCAAGGGCCAGAGACCGCCAGTGTCACCCTTGAGGTCCTTGCCCCGCCACCTGTTACAGACCCAGCCCCACGGTCACCACAGTGACCGCTCACTGCCGGGTTCCGTGACAACAGCCGCAGCTGTGGCCCACCGGACAGTGCCTGCCACCATCTCTCCAGCCTCCAGCCAGCGCTGGGGGCAGGGTCTGGGCCTTGCTCCCTGCCCGGCCTGTAACTCCAGGCCCCGCCATACAGCCGGCCGGCCCCCAGTCCAACCTTCTCCCTTCCACTTGTGCCTTGCTTAGAGCCAGAAGGGATGAAACGGGGGATCTAGAAACCAGAGGAGGAGCGAGGCGAGGGGAGAGGAAGCTGGACTGGCCGACCTCGTTCCCAATGGGACTGAGGTTCCGACAGGGCCAGAGGGCTGTTCGGAGGCCCCCTGGGGGAAGGCCTGAGCAAGAGGACGCACCAGAGCGGGTGGGCCCCAGTCCAGCAGCCCCGCTTTCAGCCTCAGAAGGGTGACGACATGGAAAGCAAAGGACCAGGCCCCCAACATCGGGCCTCCGCCCTTCATGCCTTAACACTAAGCCCACCTCCCCGCTCTCCTTCCCAGCACTGGGCCACAGTTGCTGGGCCCAGGCTGGGTGTTTTTCAGTATTTGTAAGCATCTCAGCAAAACAATAAAGCATTTGGAGTATGTTTGGGAAGACAGGTTGTCCCATAAAGCAGGATTTCCACCTTATTAAACGTTCTGGGAAGGACCCCGGCCCCAACCATGACCTCCAGTCCCTTACCTTGTCCCCACTTAACTGGCTGGGGGCGGAGGACCTGGGGTCCCAAGTGGTAGGGGATGAAGAGGCAGGAGCAGGCCAGGCTCTTACACAGGTTTAATAGGCGGCAGCCGGCGAGGTGCAGGCCGACCGGCCGGGAGCCCCGTCACTGAGGCAGGAAGGTGAGGAGGAGGCTGAGCAGCAGAGCACCTGCAAGGCAGCTGGGCTCAAGCAGCGCGATCTGGGTCCCTGATGTCAGCCGGTCGCCATAGAGGTCCAGGAGTATCATGACCACTCCGTTTGTCCAGCCAAACCCCGTCTGGAGAGAGAAGTGGCCAGTGGATGGAAGATGTCCCGCCCCAGCCCTGAGAGGCTGTGGGAGCTTCACCCAGAGGCACCGCTCAGGCTGCTCCCCTCGGGCCCACATACCAGGAAGTACAAGAACAGGATCAGTTGGGGGGACAGAGGAACCCCCTACCTCTCTGTTGGGTGTTGAGCACTCACCTGAACTTCATACTCCCCTCCACCACCTGGCTGGCCTTGGTTGATGTCATACTAGGCACAAGAGGACAGGTTCAAAAGTCAGGTGACACCCCAGGACTTGAGGGAAGTGAGGAAGTGGCGCCCCTTCAGAAGAAGCTGGTTTCCACGGGAGTTGCACCCGTTTTACACTCC